ATAAACGAGATGTTCCAGATCATCTATGACGTAGAGTGCTCGATATCTCAGATAGAGCTTAATAGAAATAAAACAAATAGCAGATGAACTTTATTACTTCATATCTTTAATCGCTACAAATCTGTTTCATATGACCACACGGGGCCACAATCATCAGGCGAATTGTAAAAACATGAATGACACAATATCAAAGGGTTTATAACGCTCAGAATTACAAAAGACTCTGAGTTAACTGGAAAATGGTTTAAACCTAGTGTATTGTTGCTTTAAATTTTTGTTTTCTTTATGAGTTTATACAGTATGTACATTATGCAAGCATGTGCGAATGTATGTTTATGTATATATGTGAATATGTGTACATGTTTATATGTATATATGTGTGTGTATGTATGTGTATATATATGTATATATGTATACATATGTTTATGATTTTGGTGCTTTTTCTTATTTTTACTTGATTTTTTAATTCCTGTTTAATTTTGATTTCTTTTTTACGTTTTGATTCTGTACCTATAGTTTACATTTTCAAAATTTAAGCCTATAGTTAAAACTTTTTGAGTTAAGCTATTGGCTTTTAATTTATTTACATTCCAGGTTAATTTGTTGTGCTTTTCTTTATACGATTTGTTTTTGTATTTGGCTGTTTACTTTTGTATTTTATTTGTTATTGTTGTCCGACCGCACCACACGAGTTGTGTGTGCCACCGTTCTAAAGGTGAAGTGTCAATAAATAAATAAATAAATATAACTAAAAGGCTAATCAGGAAGTCGAACTAAATTACTATGTTACAAAGCCTATTGTTTATTGGTGCGATCTAGGGATTATAATTTAAATGGCTAATCAGGGAGTCGGACTGTTTATTATGTTCACTGATGCATATCTGTTGCTAATTAAATATTTTTTTCTATGACGACAAGTTGACACTAACTCATTCTTGCTAATGAGTGAGCATAGTTCTGGATGACATATAATTACTTTTTTTTTTGTCTTTCGTGGGGATCACCCACCTTTATTTGTCCTCTTTTTTCATGATTTTCAATTTTTCGTTTCCTCTCCTATTATACAGTGATCTTATGCTGTACCAATATTTACATATGCATTATATGCACATTTATGCAATATAAAACAAATTTAAAAGAAAAATTAATTAAATTATATAAGCATACATACAAGTGGGAGAAAATTGCACATTTCCCATAATTTATTTCCTCCATGCCTATACATACATGCAATATACCGTATGTATTATACAAACACACACACACACACCTACACACACACACACACACACACACAAATACATACATAAATACACCAACAAACACACACCCACGCCCACACCCACACACATACTCACCAATAACCTACACATATACATAGGCCTACGTAAAAAAGCATACCCCCAAATAAAACAAACACACATACACTACAGTGTACTAATTATTAAATATTTTTGTTTCCTCCTGTTTTTCATTTTCTTTAACCTTAATTACTGTACCTTTGTAATAGACATTCTTTTTACACCTTTCACATTCTTTCATTCTTTTTTCCCCTTTTTTCCTTTACGAAATTTTCATTATTTCTTTTTTTCCCTTTTACTTTTTTGGTTTACATTTTCAATCATAAGCAAAGTGATTTACAGCACAAATATCATAATGTTTACAACGCACACAAATTCAAAGTTCAAAATTTATGACAAACTTAAGAAAAAGAGACATTTCTCACATTATACATTGTAATTAATTAAAATATATGCAAAACCACAGAAAAAAAAATTAATCAATTAGGAATTAGGCTAACGCTTTCAAAAGAATATCTTTTACACGTGACCATTTCATATTTGCTTTATCTATGTTACATACGTATTCATTTTCAATTTGAAGTTTAACCTCTAATGTAAAAGAAATCCAAATAACCGTTTTTATTTATTTATAGGCTTTATCTTTGAACACATAAATAACATATGGTGTTCGTCTTCTACCAGTTTACAACAATTATTACACTTATCATTTGTGACTAATTTCCATATTTTCAGTCTTTTATTACATGGTAAAATTCGATGTATTAGTTTAAATAAAAACTGAACAACTTTTGTGTTATATTTCATACATTTAACTCGGTGATACCATACTTCATCCCAGTTAATATGATTTATATTACACTCTAACTCCCACTTCTGTTCAGCTAGTGGAATGGTATTAATGTCTGAAATAAATTGCCAGTAATAAAAAGAGTTTTTTGTACCTTTTTTGAAGAAAGAATTGCCATTATTTTTATATTTTTGTACCTTATCATTTTTTCCTTTTGAAATTATCATTTTCCATTCTTTTGGTATTGCATTTATAAGGGTGATATATTCAATTATGCCATTTTCTTTTTGTAAAAGTTTTGGGATCAATTCATTTGGCGCTAATAATCTATCGTCTATTGAAATGTCACCTATCGATTTGTAACCTGAATTTATCCAAACTTTAAAGTACATTGAATTTTTGCCTACAGTTATAAACTTATTTTCCCATATTGGTTGATTCTAAATACTTGTTTTGGAACATTTATTATACTGGCATTATATATAAGTTTGGATATAGCCATAGTTTTAATTATGGTAATCTTTCCGAAGAAAGATAAATGTCTTTTTTCCCACAATTTTAGGGTATTTTCTAAATTTGTAATTTTGTTATCCCAATTATTTTTCCTACATGTATTTTCATCATATCCTACGTAAATCCCCAGAAACTTTACAGGTTCTTTTGTCCAAACAATATTCAGAGGATTCGATAGATTATCTTTTGATGTGCCTAACCAAATGCCTTTTGATTTATCTTTATTTAACTTTAACCCTGAGACCTTACAAAAAGTTTCAATTTCCTTAAAAAAATGAACAAGGCTGTATTCATCTTGTGAAAATATGACAGTGTCATCGGCCAATTGTGCAATTTTCACAACTTTTTTTTAATTTTTCTTGCTTTTATTTTGTGGTAATACAAAGCCTTTGCACAAGGGATTGCTCCTAATATTTACGGCCATAACTTCCACGACTAGTGTAAACAATAAAGACGAAAGTGGACATCCTTGTCTCACACCACCTCGCATATTAAAACGATCTGAGCTCCATCCGTTATTTGTGACTATACATTCTGTGTCTGTGTATATTGTACTTATCCACCTTTGAAAAGATTTACCAAACCCAAATTTTTCAAGCACTTTAATCATCAAATTCCTATCAATTGAGTCAAATGCCTTTGTGAAGTCTAAAAAGATCATTGCACCGGGTTTTAAGTGTTTATTTGAGTAAAAAAGAATATCGTTCACTAATCTTACATTTTCACCACCGAATATCCCAGTAATGTAGCCTTTTTGATCATAATCAACCCAATAACTGTTTGTAATCTATCAGAAAGGACGTGGGCCATAATTTTGTAGTCTACATTTAATAATGTAATAGGCCGCCAGTTGGCGAGCCTTTCTCTTTCTCCACTTTTGAATAGTAAATTAATTATTCCCAATCTTTGAGTAGTACTTAATTTATTATTTCTATAAGAATAGTTTAGAGCGTTACATAAAATATACTTAAGATCTTCCCAAAAATAACGGTAGAATTCTACGCTAAGTCCATCAGAACCAGGGCTTTTATTAAGCTTCATTTTATAAACAGAATTTGTGCATTCCTCAACCGTGATTTCACCTTCATATTCATATTTTTTTTAAGGTTCGTTTTCTTTAGATATGAATTAATCATTATCTCAGGTATATTTTTATTTTTGTATAGGTTTCCATAAAACTTAACTTGCTCTTTTTGGATATCACCAATATTTGACGTGCATTTACCATTTTCTTTTAGTACACATGTGATGTGTTTTCTTTTTGCCTTGCTTTTCTCTAGCCCTAAGAAGAATTTATTGTTTTTTCACCCTTTTCGAACCATTGTATTCTTGAGCGAATTTGTGCGCCTCGAACGTCGGACTCATAGATAGCTTCTAATTCTTTTGTCTTACTTTTCAAAACAGATTCAATATCTTTATCGTAAACAATGTTTAACTTATTTGTAAGTACATTGACTTCTCTAAGTAATTTTTCTTTTTTTTTCTTTTTTTGCACAATATTTACATGTGTATTCTTTTATTTTCACTTTCAGATACTCCCACAGAAGCTCTGGATTTAGATTATATTCATTTTTTTTAACTTCTCAATAATTTTTAATATTTTAAAGGAATAAGTGCTGTCTTCTAAAATGCTATTATTTATTTTCCAGATACCTGGACCTTTTTCACATTGATCTATAAACAATTTAAGTGAAATCGCCTGGTGATCAGTAAATACGGTCGGCCTTATGTCAGTATGCACTATATCGCCATTTGTATGTAATGCTTTTGATACGATCCAGTAGTCTAATCTCCTATATGTATCTTTCCTTCTCCATGTGAATTGAAACGTGTTTTTATATGACAGTGTCGCCATATACAACTAGTTTATGTTTATACATACAATTTTTCAAAGCTAACGGTGAGTTATCATAGTGGGGGATACTGTTTCTTTGATCAACGTTGCGATCTAGAACACAGTTCATATCACCACCCATGACTATGTATTCATCATTTCCGTAACAAAGACTATCTATCTTTTTTTCCACTTTTTTAAAGAAAAGTGATCTTTCTTTATAATTATTTGGTGCATATAGATTAATTAAATTTATTGTTTTATCTTTATGCTTTAGACTTACAATTATATTCCTACCCTCTCCATCTACAAATTTACAACAGATGTTTTTGGCATCAAAACTTGTTTTAAACAGTATC